TGCTGTTAGGGGATAACTACTAAGAAATACAGTTAGATGAAACAAAAAAGCCAGTGAGGGTAGGGGGTGGGGGGAGTGCCTAGCTGAGCACAGTGGCATCACTTGTAGTCCCAGCTACTCAGGAGGCTGAGGCAGGAGGATCCCTTGAGCCCACAGTTGGAGGCCAGCCTGGGCAAGTTGGTAAGACCCCATCTCAAAAAGAAAAAACCAAAAGGTTCCCAGTATTCCTTTCTGGAGTTACCTTTCACTGATTCCTTTTATTTTTCCTTAATATCCCAGTTGTCAAATTTGTCATATTTCTCAAAGCATGTTATTCTCCTTATCAACTTTCTCCCAAGCAGTTTCCTCTGACCCTCAAAAATGCCACCTCCTTGCCCCCATCTTCTTTTCTGGAGAGTAGCTGGTCCCCCCTTGGAACTCAGCACAAGGCCACTGTCTCCCTGCTGGAAGTTCCCCCGACCCTGTGAGTGGTGTGCGACCTTTGCTGAAGCTCCGGCCTCCTTCAGATGTCATATTCTCACAGCACTGGCACATTGCCCCCGATTAAAGGGACAGGTGAAAGGTGCAAGAGGCAGTTCCAGAGAGGAATGCTGGGTGCCTCTAGCTCTTACGTATTATTTATTCATTTTTGAGACAGGGTCATGGCTGTAGCTGTCTGGTCACTCCTTGCCTCCCCATTTGACTGTGAGCTGCTTGAGAAAAAGAAGCTGGACTTCATTGGCTCGGCAGGCTCAGAGCCCAGCACCAGGCCTGGCATAGACAGATGCTTGGTGAGTGGAAAGATGGGGCAGGAGAGGGAAGACAGACAGACTACACCCCCAAGACAGCTGGGGGTCTTTGAAAAATGAATACTGGATTATGCCATTTCCTTACGTAAAAACCTTCAATGCACATAAGCAAAACCCAAACTCCTAAGAGGAAAAAAGGAAAAAGAGAGCTAGGGGTAGAATCATGATGGGGTGCTATAATTTTTTAGCTTAAAGAAATAACAGACATGAAGGGTGGGAGGGAGGCTTTCACTACACACTCCAGGTACCTCTTGATTCTGAAATAAATAAATATATATATATATATATATATATATATATATATATATACACACACACACACATATACATACATACGTAAGTACAATACTCTATCCTTTCACATATTTCCAGAATGTTCTAAAATGAACATGTGCTTCTTTTGTAAATATTGTTTTTAAGAAAAACTTCAAAATTAAAGCCCCTTTGATTATAGTCTTTGCAGTTAGATCTTTGTTCCTTTAAAGTCTTTTTCTCTTGGTGTTCAAATGAACAATTAGAAAAATGACAATTTTGTTGCCCCCTTTTAAAATACACAGCCTTTCTTGCTTGCTTGCTTTCTTTGGATCTAATAATCACTAAGTTGGTTTCCCATTTTAACATGTATGAATTGTCTGGGCCTTTTAGTCTTTAGGGTGCTGGAGATTACACCAGAGAGGTCATTAGGATGCAGAATCCCAGGGTTCTAGCCCACACATCTGAGTCAGCAAGTCTAGGTAGGGCCCTGAAATCTGCATTTTAACATGTTCAATAGGAGACTGCAGGGCAGGGCAGAGGGGCAGGAAGGGGACTGATTGCTTTTTGAAACATCCGCCCATTACTTATTAAGAAAACTGTATGGGGGGATGGGGATTGAACTCAGGGGCACTCAACCACTGAGCCACATCCCCAGCCCTATTTTGTACTTTTTTGAGACAGGGTCTCACTGAGTTGCTTAGGGCCTCTCTTTTTGCTGAAGCTGACTTTGAACTCGATATCCTCCTGCCTCAGCCTCCCCAGCTGCTGGGATTACAGGTGTGTGCCACTGCACCTGGCAGGAAACTATTTTTAAGTGATAATCGTACATAGTATAGTAGCTCCCCTTAATTGTGGTTTTGCTTGCTGTGGTTTTTTAGTTACACGTAAGTCCAGAAATAAACAATTCATAAGTGTTAATAGCTTTCATTAGAGTATATTGTTATAATTATTCTATCATTAGTTAATCACTTACTGTGCCTAATTTGTAATTAAACGTTATCATAAGTATGTATGTATAGGGAGAAACACTATGTATAGCGCTCAGCACTGCCTACAGTTTCAGGCATCCACTGGGGGTCTTGGGATGTACTCCCTGAGGATAAAGAATGTGCACAGAATTTGGCATTGAAAGTGCCCTCTCCTCTGCTGACCTCCCCCGCCACAAACTGCTTTCACCTTTCTAAGCTTCTGCCTGGCAGAAACCTCAGAGCGTGGTTCTTTGTGCACTCACCTTGTCTTCTCTCTCAGCTTTTTGAGAATGAGATCCAAGCTTTTATCCAGCCCAAAGTTGCAAATGAAAGTGTGTATCAGAGAAACCAAAGCATTTAGTTCAAACTTTACTTTCTTTGGTTTAGGGACCAATTTTCTCTTCCAGTTCCTACTCATCCCCACCCCCAGCTCCCGCAATGCTCAGTCAAGCCACAGCTAAGTCTAGGGAGGGGCTGTTTTATTTTAAAATATGTACATAAATTACTTGTGGTAGCTTTCTATGCCTTTCCCAGGACCTCTGGTGAGCCCTTTCCTCTGTGAATGCTAAAGTGAAAGGAACGCCTGGAAAAGCAGCACAAGTGGTTCAGATAAACACCCCAGTAGGTTTTCCACATTACATAAATTATCAAGTGTGATGCGAAGGGCCCAAGGGGATAGAGCAGTGGCTCTATGCTTCCCCCTGGTGGTGAGATGTTCCACCACATTCCCCACCCCACCCCTGCATGCAGCCAGTGCTCAGTCACCCAGGCAGGCTTTGCAGGGGCTTCTTTGCTGTCCCTGGAAGCACCAAGACTAGTACACCTAAAAATATTTGCTGGTATAAGTGGCAGGAACCAAAACCACATAGTTCAAGTTTTCCTTTCTTCTGCCCAGCTGAAGATCACTGGTTTGTCCAATTGTGTAACTTCCTGATTCTTTATAGCACAGTTTTTGAGCCTAATCGTCTGCACAGCTCAATCAAAAGGGAAATGTGGAAGACCTCCTATGCTCAGAGTATAATCCTAAGTCCTCACTGATAAAACTCCCAGGCTTTTAGAAAGGCCATTGCATCTACCATTCATCCCTACCCCGAAGTGGACCCTCAGAATGGGTTAGGGCTCCTGGACTGTGGCCCAGAGTTATAGTTCAAATGACTGAGCCTGAAGGACAGAGAGGGCTAAGAGAGGACTGAGTGATGGTCCACCAGACTGGAAGACAATCACACAGAGCTTCCGGTGCTCTAAAACCCACTTGGAGCAAGAAATAACCCTGCATGACAAAAGTTCTTTCAGTAAAGAATTCTCTGAGAAGTGGACCAATCTTGAAACTGGATTCTTTAGGGGTCACTATAAACACATCATCTTTAATCAGAAATAAATGTGTCCCTTCCCAAGATGGGGAGAGGCAGGGACACACTGGATGTCATTTTGGAGTCCCCTTTAGAGGCTCCTTTAATAGTCCCTATGAAAAGACAAGATGGGATACTGTAAGCCAAAGCCAATTTACTTGTGAGACTTGGACAGAAATGACCTCACTGGCGCCTACAGGTATCCCAGGAACAGAACACACATTCTTTCCCTGATGACAGAGAAGCCTTTAATGGAAACTTCTCCCAGGGATAATGGTCAGGCCCTGAGTGGAAAGTCTGAGATCAACAGGCCCAAATTCAGAAAATCAAGACGATTCCTAAAGCTTAATGGTCTGATAAGAACAGCAAATATGTACTGTCCTTTCTCCTCCCTGCTGGGCACGAAGCTGCCTCACACTCCATTCTGCCATGTCACATGTACCCTCTGAGTGGTGATGAGTTGTTCATGGAGAATTCCACCTAAGACAGGTTTAGGGCAATCTAGGCTCTACCTCATTAGAAGCAGCCACATATTCAAAGAATGCTGCTGAGGCTCCTCATAAATCGCACTGAAGAGAAGTCTCTACCTTACTGAGATTATTATAGGGATCCAAACCTCCTTAATTCAGAATCACAGGCATTATGTTTTAGGGGAAAACCTGAATTATATGTTTAAAAATAGAAACTAGTTATCTCCTATGACAATTCTATTACCCTGGGCATTGTAATAAAACTTTAATTAGGGAGATTTCTCCCTTGCAATGGGATTTTTAGAAACAGAGGCCCAGCTACTCAGAAGGCTAAAACAGGAGGATTATATCAAAATTAAAAAATAAGATGGGCGTGGTGACACATGCCTATAATCCCAGCTACTTGGAGCCTGAGGCAGGAGGATCCCAAGTTCAAAGCCGGCCTCAGCAATTCAGCAAGTCCCTAGGCAACTTAGTGAGACCCTGTCTCAATAAACAAAAACAAAAACAGGGGCTGGGGTTGTAGCTCGGTGGTAGTGCCTAGCATACACAAGGTGCTGGGTTCGATCCTCAGCACCACATAAATATAAAATAAAGATATTGTGTCCACCTAAAACTTAAGAATAAATATTAAAAAAAAAAGAAACAAAAGGCTGGGGATGTAACTCAGTGGTTAAGTGGCCCTAGGTTCATCCCTGATACCAAAAATAAAAAATAAATAAAATAAAAAATAAAGGGCTGAGGGGTGACTTTGATAGAGTATTTAACTAGCATGCACAAAGCTTTAGGTTAAATCCCCAGTACCAACAACACAAGAAAGAAGGGGAGGGGGGTAGGTGAAGTTAAGTATCTGGGAAATTCAGAAAGCCTTATGAAATAAATCAGAAAATAAAATCATATATCAAATACGATAAAAACTTTCACGTTGCATAGGGATTAATCTGTTTCCCAATCTTTCCACATGCCCAGTTTAGACAGCAGTCCTAGGAGAAAAGATTTCTCTGTCAGCTAGGAGGGTCCTCCTCTCACTTGGATGACTCTGAGGTGGGAAAGGGCAGAACACGCGGCACCCAGCAGGGAATGTTCAACCAGGGCTGAAACACCAAGTCACCCGGTCACAGGATGAGTGAACTCCCCTCGGCACTCCCCCAGAATTAAAACTCCCCTCACTTTCAGTGTTACCAATTGCTTTATTTTGTCCCCTGACCCCTCCCGGCTGGACTGGTGCTCAGACAATTGGCAACATGTCTGCTTTTTCATCACTGAATCCCAAGTGACTAGTGGGAAGTTGGCATTGAATAAATGAAAGATAAATCTAAACTGACCTAAGAATCTGCTTTAATAAGTAAATCAGGCAAGAAAGAACAAAAAGAATTAACAGGCCTCTATTAACAATGTTTCATGAATTGTTAAAGTGATGAGTTTCATAACATAAAAATTAACAATGAACTCTAAAATGAAAACTTACAAAATTTAAATGACTCAGTAATGTCTTAAGTTTGGACACAACTTTTGTTTAAAACTAGAGTCCTTTGACTCATCAGTATGAAAGTATTTGATGGCTTGTGCTGCCCAATTTCAATGAACCCAAACTTGAACTAGAAGAGGAAGGAACACTGAACTCAGGCCTTTGACACTACCCATGCAATTTCTCATCAGTGCCTACAAGCGAAGGACTTAAAGTCCTCAGAAAATATGATACAACCCAACAGCCATTATTAAGTCTGGAATCCAACATCAGCCCTGCCCTTTGTTCACACTCAAGAGTTTTTCGTGCTGAATTAATAACCAATTATCAATTCCTTGATACTGACTTTGTGAAATCCCTCTCCATGCCTGTCATTTAGAACTTTGTCTCTTCTTCTTTTACTAATGGGGACAGGACAGTAGAAGAATTGAAGATGGTGAGGGGCAATGATTGGGACCTGTTTCTAAAAAGAAAATTTTTTAAAGACACTTTACATTTCAATATCATTAATGACCAAAAAAAACAAGAATTAAAGCAGAAGGTAAAACAGAAACAAAAACAACCCCAAAATTCGAAAAAAAAAAAAAGCTATATTGTCTTAAAGAGAACATTTAACATACAGTCCTGCTGTACCTAATCATTATTTCAAATAGCTCAATACTTCAAAAAGACAATCTCCCAATGCCTTCCTAGTGTTCCAAGTCATCTCTCAAATGATGAAACAAACAGGTCTCCTTTTTTTGAGCAACCTTTATAAACTGCACCAGCCCTAATGGGCATGTCTTTTAGAGAATTTCACCGAAGAGAAGTTCAAAGATAAAACTGCAGCAGCAGATCAGGGGAACACGCAGCCAGAGCCAACCCGTAAGCTGTCCTTAGTCCTGTGCATCTGAACCCAAGTCCGCACTCCAAGGATGGGAGGGTTGGTCCCGGGCTGGCTGCGGGACAGTGGAGCTGGGTCCTATCTGCCCGCCAGGGGTCTAAACTGCAACTCGAGTTCCAACTGCTCTGCTGTCAGGGTTCCCTGGATGGCTTCGCAGCCTGGGTTGAACACAGAGTAGGCACTCTTCTCTCCCTTCTTCCTTTCCTCAGAGGCTCGGGTCCCTACATACATCCAGTAGAACAAGGACAGGACAAAATAAGCCAGGCCAAATTCCAGCTCCACAAACAGTCCCAGGAGGACCAACCAGAGAAGAATCTTCAAGAAGGTGACATTGGTCAGGAAAGGCTGGTTCCGGTGCCATTGTGGAGGAATGGCTGTGCCCTGTGGGGGCTGGGCCACGCTGCTCCCAGGTTGAGCTGCTTCCTAGGAGACAGAAGCAAACACAAGTCAGAATAAAGGGTAATGGAGCTGAGAGGACCAAAACTCATCTAGAGAGGCAGTCCGCGTTGCTCTGGGAAGGCTGCTGGCTCATTGATTTCTATTTTCTTGCCCTGTTCTCTAAAACAAGCATTGCCAGAGAGTGCATATGCTTTGCTTCAGCGGAACCAAAACCAATCAGCACTTAGGGAGATGTGACCCAACAAAAACCTTATGCACTCAGATAGAGTCCCATTCATGGGAGTTATTTCCTCAAATTAGTCCGCTGCTAACAAAAGCTAATTTGTGCCCCAAACAAAAATAGTCCGGTAATTGGTAATGCAACAGCCATGATGTCTGCCTCCCACACAGTCAACAGACATTTGATGACTTGATTAGATAAAATATTATGAGTGACATGATTCTAAAGTGGACACTGCACAGACAAAAACAGGGAGGCAAAAATCCCTTTTACACATTAAAAAAAAAAAGTGTTATAGCCAGTACCAGACCCTCTTACCATCCCACCCCATAACCATCCTCCAGATCCGTCACTCATCCCAAGGCCCCGGCAGCATCTCCTGAGCAGACTCTGCCTCCTGTCTCTTCCCTCTCCAAACAGCAAATACATAACTGCTAAATTAATTTTCTAAAAGACCTGCCACCCTCCTGTCCACAAAAGTTCAATAAATTCCCATTATCTACAGGTTAAAATTCAAACTCCTGTAGCTGGAACAAAGGCCTGCCTCCACATATTCCACAGACAGAAATGCCAGTACACAGCCCCTGTGCGGTGTGCTAATGGAAGACCACATGTAGCTAAGCTGTAGGAAGCTTCCTCTCCACTCCATTTTTTTTTCAAATGTTTTTGGACAAGACCCACAAGAAGGAATACATATTTTACTACAACACAGCACACAGACATGCAGCAGAAACAAAGTGCCACATGTCAACACTTACCCTCCTTGAGAAACTCCTATTTCCTATTCTACCCTATTCTTAAACAATTTTTAATGAGGGACAACAGCCTCTATACTGATTTCACCATCCACTAATGGGTCACAACTTGCAGTTTGAAAAGCAAAAGCCTAAAAACTGCCTGTGCAATTCAATGCCCAGTCCATGGCTCCACGCACGGTCCTCTCTTCCAACTCAACTGGTCTTACTGCCAAAGACGTTCTTTCCTTCCGCCCAGGCCAGAACAGTTAGTGAACTGGGCATGCCCTGACCTCTCTGGCCATCAGGGAGGGTGCCCCTTTGTCTCCCAATGCACTAACTGGCTCTTTCTCCACAAGCACTGAAATGTCTGTGAATTTAGGCCACGTGTGTCCCTCAGTTCATACATACCACACAGGCCATGGACTGTCATGTCCTTCTGTGTCTCCAGAGCCAAACACAGCACTTCCCACACAGATTCTCAATACAGAGCAGGTCTTTCAGTTTTTACAACTGCCTCTTCAGTTATATCCCCTGTTGTTCTTCTCCTGAATATTTAAAAAGGGACCCAAAATATCAGCTTCCATAAAAACTACTGGTCATCTGATTTACAGTGCTAAAAATTCCATTTTGTTGAAACTTCCTTTTTTAGTATCAACATTGTAATTATTATCTTCAGCTGGATCAGAAGGTCTGAAATGATGAGTTCATCAGCAACATGGCTTTACCTTAACATTTATTAAAGAAAGAAATGTCCCTTTCAGATTTGACCAGTGTGCCCAATAGTTCTTGCCTGAGAGGAGGGATGTATTGGGGAGGACAGGTTTGGCTTGTATGAAAAGAGGGACAGACAGTGTGAAGAGGCAGGGTGGGGGTGGGTTGAGATGGTGGGGGGGAGGCCAGGCAGGCCACAACAAAGATTCTGGAAATGGGAAGCCACTGAAGGTCTTCACAGGGAACTAACACAATCCAATTGATACCTACTAATGCCATGTAAAGAATGCACTGCAAGGGACCAAAAGTCTACAGGGGAAGTGTTGGTGCTCATGTAGAGGCCCAGCAAGAGAGGACCAGGCATGGATCAGGTGGCAGCAGAAGTCAATGAGAAATGATAGATTGATGGATACAGAATACATATTGAATGTCAATGAACTGAAGTTCACAGTAAGTTGAATTTATTTTAATATTCAGGAAGCAAAAAAAAATATGCCTCCATTTACTGAGTACCTCCAAAATGCCTGATCTCCTGTAATCTAGAAGGCAAGCATTACCATTCCAAATTTACTGGTATGGAAACAATGAGAGGTTTAAGTAATTTCCCTAAAATCGTACAGCTAGTAATAGGAGGGGTAAGGTCTGCCTAGGATGTTAGAATGGTCCCCTCCAAAGCCCTTTTGGTTTCATTAGAGGCCGTTATGGGAGATAGCAGGTAAGAGGCTAGAAAGCTAGAGGGAGGTGCAGTGGTGATGGCAAACAAACTAACAGTGGGCACAAACAAGGGAGAGGGGGAACAGGGGACTCTTCTGCTTCACTTACAGGGTTTCTATAAAAGCCATGTGCAGAAGTGTCGGTGGTGGTTATATCACAGTGGGTACAGTTCAGGGATGGCATTTCTGTTCTTCCAGCACCCAGCTGCTTCCCACCTCAGGGCCTCTGCACCCACAGGGCTCAGAGGACAAGCCTTCCCCTCCCATCACTTGGCAGGCTGCCTCCTCTACAAACTTCAGATCAGTATCACCACATGTGTCCTTAGCCTTGTTCCCAGGTCTCTGCAAGGGTGGCTCCTTCTAGTTCAATGTCTTCTACTCAAGGAGGCTCTCCCTATTTGCCCAATATACAACGTCACTCCCTACTCCCCACCACAGTACCCTGCATTTATTTTTTTCCTTTTATAGCATTTTTGTCTGGTTGTGTCCTCCTTCCCCTGCTGCCCCAAGCTGCATGGAAGTTCTAGGCGAGCAGGACTGCCCAGGATTGAGGGCAGAAGCTGGAACCCCATGGGCACGCGACAGGACTTAATAAATGATGGCGAGGGAAAGAGAAATACAAGATGACTCCAAAATTCCCGTGGTGATGCAAGGTAGTGTTTGGCCAGGTGGCTCCAGAGAAGAAACCCGAGCCATGGGCCAGCCTGAGCCAGGCTGGCAGTGAAGTACTGCCCACAAGTATGGGGACTGGTCCCTACATCTGGGTAGTGCCTACATGGGATGACACTGAGGAAGGGGGCAGGAGGATTCTGTGGGATGATTAAAAAAAATAAAAGCCACATGTATTTTTGTCCTAATGTGGTAGAAGTTCATCACAAAATTAAATATTGAGTTTTGAGGGGCTTGCTTTTTCCCAAGCAAAATTTGGGGCAAGGAAGATGAAGGATACTTATATTTCCTTATCAATGACTACTGAGAAGAAGCAATTATAAAAAGAAAGCTAACGAAGTCTCTGATGGGCCAATGTGCTATCAAAATTATTAGGTGGAGATGGATAGTAATTTTTAAAAAAATTTTTTAATGAGGATTTCTACACCAAAGCAAAACCAGGAATGATAACAGTCGATGAAAATGAGCCTAAGGCTAAGTCCCTCCTAAAAAGCAAAGCAATGAACTGGAGCCAATCAGTGTCCAGCATTTCCTCTTATCCCTTTGTCAGACCATCAGCTTTTGGGCTTTTAATAATGGAAGCTTTCTCCAAGTTCAGCTTTTCCGAGTTCAACTTAATGATCTCATAGTCCTTTAGAAAGGAGACTTACAGTGTAAAGCTCATTGTGTGAGTTAGACATTGTTTTTTAACTACAGGGGAAACAAAGAATAGGGAAAATGGATTTTAAAATCTTGAGCAATTGTGCTCATGACTTCTAATGAACCAAAGACAATTGAGACAAACTTCAGGAAAGGAATGGATTGTAGAACCCTGCTGCCCACTATTTCTACAAGTGAGTGGAAACCATACTGTGGAGAATAATACCCAATCAAAATTGAGTAACAAGTTTTTTCTGATTAAATAAAACAAAAAAACTCCTTAAGATATATGTTGTGCAATAATAGATGTACTTAAGGGAAATAATTTTAAAGTGAACAAGGTATATACTGCTCCAATATGTTTTGACATTTAAAAGGTATTCTTTGGTTCTTATGAAGAACAAAGGGCTTGTCACCTTGTCACAAATTGTTGCAAAGCGCACTGTCATCCCCTGGCATGCTTTGTCTTGGATATCCCCCCACATACACTCCAGTCTCCCATACAGCCACCCTGCCATTGTACTCATGAGGGAAAATTAAATGAAGATCCAAATTAAAATTCATCTGCAAAATAAGAGATTACCAGAAGAATTAAATTAAGGATGAAAAGGCTATCACACTAACCCATTTTTTTTTTTTGCCATGAACATTCATTATTGAACTTGAATAAACCTTTCTAGTCCAAAGGCGATGCATTAGCAAGTGCCACCAATGGCAGTTAGTTACCACAGTTTTGCAAGTTTTGTATTCAAACCCCATTTCTAAAGTACAGGCTTTCTGGTCCAGCATGTGCCCTAGGCGTGAATAAAATGAAGCCTTAATTACTGTCACTTTTGATTACTATTCAGTTAGACCTTTTACTCTCTATTAGCAGTGGACCAAGGCCCCTCTTGGTTGTGGAGAGGTTTCCCAAAGCCACAGTGTAACTGGGAAAACCTAAGTAAAACCTCCAGCTTCCACTGCTTTTAGATGACTTTAAAGTCACTAATTCTGGAGATGAGGCAGGTGAACAATTCAGTACCCCAACAGTTTGGTTGTAGATGATTCCTCTGACTGAAGCCACTTAAGAGGTTAAAACAGTTGTCTTGGGCCAGCTTCCCCGGTTCTCCTAGGAAAGATGCCTCTTGTATCCTAATGATTACCTACAAGGTTAGTTATTCTTGGGGACGGGAACCGAAACTGAAAAATTCTTGGAAAAGGAACCCAAGTGGTAAAACTTCCTAATCAGTAACTTTTCTCTAGGTTTACAGAACCCAGGACATCTGATGGTCTTCAGATAACATTAAGTGTGCACCAAGGATTTGCTAATCTTGTTCTTTACTTAAAAGTAAATTAATGTTTAACTTTCAGGAAAATAACGCGTTTATCTAAAAACTTATAGTACTGACATAAGAGGCGAATGTTATCTCAAGGATATTGTGGCAGAAGAGAAAAGAAAGCAAGCCCTAGATGAGGAAGACCCCGCTTGGCAGTAGCCTTTTTGCCTACTGCCCCAAGCTCCTCCTCTCCATCCCTATAAAAGCCCTTTGCGAACCTGAGTTTCCTAAGATTTTTTTTTTTTTTTTTTTTTTTTTTTGGCGGTGACAGTCTCCCACCTTCTTTGTTTGCTCGCTTTCCAAATAAATCTTTTTCCTTGCCCCACAACCTAAGTCACTGGCCTTTGTGAGTTGCGTATAAATACAAATCTGGGTTCGGTAACAAAGGGGTCTACAATTCTAGACCCTAGTTTCCTGCCTGGACCCAGGAGCTGTGTGGGAAGCGGACTGGCAAGAAAAGATCAGTACGCATCGGTGCTGACCAGCGTGGAAGAACACCGGAGGCCCGATCCCCAGCTCCAGGGAGGCCAGCAGCTGTCCCAGCGCCGAGGCTGCTCCACTTCCCGAGGAGGGCGGGGCCTGCGGAGCCACGCGCCGGGCGGGAACCCCGGGAGGGGCGGGGCCTCGGGCGGAGTGTGCGGGGAGGCCACGTCGGCGTTCCTGAGGCCAGGTCCGCGGACGAGGCGTCGCTCAGCTCACCTGAGCGTGGATGGGCGGGGCCCGGGCGCTGGCGGGCCTCGGTTTCCATACCAGGACCAGGAACTGTCTTAGCCAGCTTGGGACTGCCTTTGGAGTCGCAGCTACTTCCTCCTTCTCTCCTGAGGTTTGTGCCTCCTGGCTCGAAGTGCTGGGTTGGGCAGCCAGCCGGGCCCGTTTGCGAGCTTCTCGGAACTCAGCTAACCGCTGTTCCATGACGCGCGCTGCACTCCGGGAGCGCGCGCCCGCTAGCCCGCGCGCCCGCTAGCCCGCGCGCGCGAGGTCCTTCCTCGCGCAACCCAGCGCGGCACTGTTGTGCGCCTGCGTCGGCGGTTGCCCTATGCGCATGCGTGGTGGTGCGTCCTGGCCGCAAACTTCCGAAGATTTGTGACGTCGGCGGGCCTGAAGCAGCTCTCTGTTCCAACGCACGTGGACGCAAGGTGGACTCAGAACTGTCCCACTGTTACTCACTCTTGCCCCGAGTTCCTCGGAGGAAAGCTCTGTTTTGCCCATTCTCACATCAGGTCTCTGGTCCCAACACACCCTGCCTTGGGTACTGTTGAGCGCTCCTGCTGGGCACGACGAGGAGCCCCACAGTGAGAAGGTGGTCCCAGGCACTGAGAGCCCCCGATCTCTGGGGGGTTTCTCATATCAGGATGACAAGATATGAGAAACCTTTTCCTTTTATCAGGGTATTCCAGTCATGAAATTTGGAGAGGGATTTTCTCACTGCTCAAAAAGCAAGCCGTGTATCATTGCTCTTGCCACTAAAAATAATCTGTTGATGTGCCCAGATCGGTCAGAAACTTATGGGGAAAAAAAAGCCCCCCCCCCAAAAAAAATGGGAGTGCAACTTAAAATACACAAATCTGAAGGGTAGGTTTAATAGCGCTCTTCTTAACATGCTAGCTCTCTTCTGATGTGTGCACCTGTATAACCACCACAAGATAAAACAACAAATAGTTCTAGTACCCTGGGAGCTCTTTGTGCCCTCTCTCAGTTAGTACTCACCTAAAAGAACACCATCCAGGTCAGATTTTTATAGTTCTAAGCATCTATAGTGAAGTAACACGTAATTGAGACTCAAATGTTTGTTGAATCTTGATGAGTTTGAGTCAAGAAGCTAGACAAACAAAATGAAGTGTTTCATTCACCTAACAAATGAATGTTTATCTAGGGCTATGTATTGAGTATTGTATCAGGCAGTAGGGGTGCTGGGGTTAATGAAACAAAGACCTCTGTTTTATTAGATCTTACATTCTAAGTGGAAAGACAGGCAGTAAACACACAATTATATATATAATGTGACATCAGGTGCTGATTAGTGCTATAAAGAAAGACAAAGTAAGGAATGAAAGTGGGAGAGCTATTTAGAGCCAATGACCAGGGAAGACCTCTCCCAAGGGGAGCATGCTGTTTGAGCAGAGACCTATCTGAAATGACTGAATGAGGAATGTAACTACCTGGACAAGAGTGTTTGAGTCAGAGGAAATAGCAGGTACAGAGGTCTGAGGTCTCCGCTGGTGTGTCTGACCTGCTCACAGAATATCAGGGAGGCTGGTATGACTAGAACAGAGGGAGGGAGAGAATGGTAGAAAGTAAAGATGTGCTGATAGCCAGGAGTCAATCACATCAGTTCTTGTAAACCAGGGTCAAGTCTTTGAATTGTATTCTAAACATGGTGGAAAGCAATTGGACAGTTTTTGAGCAGGCGATGACAGTTGTATGAGAAAGCCAGAGATGCACTGGCTGCTGGAGGAGAAGGAAAACCAATTAGGAGCAAATATGGTAGGATAGAAAGTGTGATAGCTTGAGCTACTATAGTAGAGAGAGAAGAGGTGAGAATTGGTCAGATTGTGAATTTTTGAAGATTGGAGCCAACAAGGTGCATAGATTGCTTGGATATGAAGTATGAGAAAAAGAGGAATCAAGGATGATAGGTTTCCTGCACACATTTGTGCACACACACACTGTCACAATAAAAAAAAAAAAATACAAGTGGGCTGGAATTGTAGCTCAGTGGTAGAGCACTTGTCCTGTACGTGTGAGGCACTGGGTTCGATCCTCTGCACTACATAAAAATAAATAAATAAAATAAAGGCATTGTATCCATCTACAACTAAAAATACATTAAAAATTACAAGAAATACAATTTTAAGATATTAATTTTATTTGCAGTTCTAGAATTGGGCAACACCTCATCTCATATTTATGTTGCACCTCAATGAAAATGAAATGTTCTAATAAACTGAGCAGAGGAGGTTGACTTTATAGACAGAAAAAGGCTGAGTAAAGCAGAAAATAAAACAAGCAAATTAGTTGTTTCAAAATTTTCTTGTAAAAACAGGGAGGAATTCCTTATCTTACCAGCTAAATTTTTCTTGTTTGGGAATTTGACTATTATTTTTCCAATTTCTTGGAAGTTCAGATAAACAACTTAGTTGTGACTTAGTGGTGTGGAACTTCAGCATGAGTAACTGCATTTTTGGTTTAGTCTTTTGAGCTTAGTGCAGGAACTCAGTCAAACCAATGGCCTCTCTGTAAAATTTATTTAACACTTCCATACAGGCTAATATCCCAGGCAATCGAGTTAAGGATTCTGGGCCCCTCTGCCAAAAGCAAGGAAGACTAGGGGGAAAGGATTTTGGAATAAACATTGAAAGTTTTGTTTGGACCTGCCAAAATTTTGTGATGCCTGTTGGACAACCAAATGTAGACAGATGGATAGTGAGAACTGAAAGGGAGGAATCAGGGTTGGAGACACTGGGAGTGATCAGTATATGTGTGGTATTTAAGCCGTGACTGAGATCAACTAGAGAGCATTATGGATAAGAAGAGAAGATATTTAAAGACTGAGCCGAGTGGATTAGAGATGGTCTGTAAGACAGAAAAGAATGTTTTTTTTTTGTTTTTTTTTTTTTTTTATGTACCATGTGTCCTCATTGAGAAACCACAGGAAATTTCTTGCCCATTTTGGCATCAGGAGTAAATCTGCTTCTCCTGAAAGACGAGATCCTTTGTGTTTCTCACTTGATGACCGCTGAGACCTCTAACAGGTATATAGCATTAAGATGTGATTCGTGGACCATTGCAAGGTAAGGAGGACTTGGTAAGGAGCTAGTTACAAAGGTATGGCAAGATGGGGGAGCCAGCAAGCCATGTTCACAGAAAGAGTTACCAGCTTGCAGGGTAGAAGCAACTAGAGGACAAGGTGTTGGTTGTTAGAACCCTATTATGGTATGGATACGAGATATCCCCCCAAAGCCCCCATGTTAATGCAGGAGCTGAGATGATTAGACTATGAAAGCCATAAGCTAATAAGTAGGTTAATCCATTTGATGGGTTAATGATCTGAATGTCTTACTGGGTGGTACTTCCGCAGACCAGCATTGCTGAAGGAAGTGGAGCTTGGGGATTGTATATTTTGTCCCTGACTCCTCCCCCAACTCTATTTCCCTGCCACTATGAGCTGAGCAGCTCTCCTCTGTCGTACCCTTCCACCGTGATGTTCTGCTTCACCTTGGGCTTGGAGCAGTGGAGTCAGCTGACCATGGACTGAGACCTTTGAAACCATGAGCCAAAGTAAACTTTTCTTCCTCTAAGTTCTGGTCAGTATTTTGGTCACAGTGATGAAAAACTGAATAATACAAACCCAGGAGGCCTATAACTCTGGGTGAAGCCGGTAGCCAGGGGCACCCAGGACTGTCTATAGCCAAGCGCTGATGTTAGTCCTGCTCTGTCGTGCCTCGCTAACCTTATTTCCCCTTGGCTTTGTTTTCTTATTTATTATGAATTTATTTTGTCTTGGTACTTTGTAAAACCTCTTTAAGTCCTTTTTGGAAGATATTGAAAGAATGGAAGAAAGAAAAGATGAAAGAGATGATCATGGAGAATAACTCCTGCCAAAACAACTTAATTTCCTCTTTGGATAGGATTGTAAAACTAGCAAATACAAGAAAGGTCCCAAGAATGTACTCAATGTGTGAGTTTAATAATTTCTTTTCCCCTTGGGGGAATTGGGGTGGGTGAGAATTGCTACTAGCATCTAGTCATAGAAGCCAGGGCACTGACCAACATCCAGAAATGCACAGTACAAGCCCCCAAAACAAAGGTTATTTCGTTCAAAATAGGAAAGTTGAGAAACCCTGCCACAGAGGAGGCGGAAGCTGCAGGGCTCTCGAGATGTAGGCTTAAAACTCACAATGCCATTTTCACTTCACCCTGCTAGAGACAGCATCATAGATCCAGACCAGATTCAAGGAATTGAGAAATAGATTCCACTTTCTGGTGGGAGGAACTATAAAGACTTTATATTCATTGGTTATCTACCTCAAAAGCAGATGCTTTGGAGAGGGACACGGGAGTTTGAATCTAAGTAATTTTTCATTCTGGAATACTTAGAAGATACAAAATTATATATGATAGATAATGTATATGTGCATGTATGTCATATTTGTATGTGCCCTGTGGCCCTGTACAGTTCTGTACTCCTGTAACTGTACCATAAAAGGCAAAGTATATATGATAAGAGGGGGTGGGGGCTAGGGAAGAATAGAGGTACTTTGTATTAGACAAAGGGGAGTGAAGGGAGTGGAGGGGATATGGGGGTAGGAAGGACAGTGGAATGAATCAGACATTATTACCCTTTGTGCATATATAATTACATGACTGGTGTGATTCTACACCATGTACAACCAGAAGAATGAGAAGTTATACTTCATGTATGTATGATGTGTCACAGTGCATTCTACTGTCATGTATAACTGATTAGAACAAATTTTTTAAAAGGCAAAATATACTTCTCCACTCCTTGACTTGAAACTGAACCATGAAGGTTGCTTTGGCCAAGTGGGAATGGTGGAAGAAATTATGTAAGCAAGGACTTGAAGTATGTTTGTTTTGGGTGTAAGTAAATCCTCTTAATACGCTGCATTGCCATGAAGTGAACTTGCAACATCTAGCCAGCTGGTCCAGGAATCTTGTGAAACACCTAGGTTCTGGTCACCTACCTAACCCACAGACCTGCCATTTAAAACTGAGCTGCCCAGCTGAGCCCAATCTAAGAGTTGTCTCCCAGTTTACTCTAAGATGTATGGAAAGTAGATGTTTATTTTATATCACTGAAATTTTATGGCTGTTTGTTACACAGCAAAAGCTAATTGATATATAACCACTCCAGTGAAGTCCTCTGTGTCCATGTGTGTCCATTTCTGATTCCTTCCCATTCCTTTAGTCTGTAAATGTGGTAAATTACCTTAATAGATTTTCTGTTGCAAAACCTT